TCCAGGTTGGAGTCACAGCCAAACAGGAACAGACCAGATGAAGCTACTATGAGAAAAAGCAGAGAGCAGAACGTTAGAGATTGAACTAACAGATTCTGCAGAGTGGGAGAATAGAGATAGAATGAAGCGGAATGATGAAATGGGGGTCCCTATGTCCTCCAGCAGTCTAAGCCTATAGCAGCATAACTATAGAGATAGCTCAGAATAACCTGAGCCACTCTAACTAGAAGCTTTATCAAAAAGGAAAGTTTTAAGCCTAGCCTTAAAAGTAGACAGGGTGTCTGCCTCACGGACTAAAACTGGTAGTTGGTTCCACAGGAGAGGAGCCTGATAACTAAAAGATCTGCCTCCTATTCTACTTTTAGAAATTATAAAACCACTAGTAAACCTGCAGATTGAGAGCGAAGTGCTCTGTTAAAAAATAAGTAATGATCAGATCTCTGATATCAGATGGAGCTTGGCCATTTAAGGCTTTATATGTGAGAAACAGGATGTTTAATTCTATTCTGGATTTAACAGGAAGCCAATGAAGAGAAACTAAATAAGAGAATTATTAACTCTTAAATTTACTTTTTAATTTTCATCAAAACTCTGGCTGTTGTTTTGGATCAACAGAGTCCATTCATTATATGAGGCCATGAAAATATCACTAGCAACTTTGACCAATGCTGTTTCAGTGCTATGATGATCTTTAAAGAACTTCAAAAAGTTAATTATGAGGTAAGTGGTCACACAATTGTTGAGCAACAATGTCCTCAAGAATTTTAGATAAGAATGGAAGATTAGACATAGGTCAAGTCACTCAGACCAGGAACATGTTTCTTAATAAAAGGCTTAAATACCTTTATCACATATATGTTTTGCAACTTTAATATATTCATTCACATTTATATTTAACCCCCAGTAGGTGTTAAATACTATTCAGACAGTCATATATTGTCATATATATCACCCTACTGGATGTGTGTTAGAACAACAAAAAAGTGTGAATCAAGCTCAAATCAGGGTGAGACAGATAATTTTGCACGTATATGGAACAAAATCACCACAACTTCCATTCAAAATGTAAGAGTTTATTACCAAAAATCTTTCAGCTCAAAGTCAAACATTTTTCTTTAGTTAAAAACTCTTAAATAAAGACTAGTGAATATCAACTAAACTAAGCTATCGCATACAAAGGAAAAACATGGTTGAAAACCACAATCAGTGCAATGATATCACATTTTAGCAGAATTTATGTCTAAGGATCAAAGTTTATCTTGAAGAATTTGGGATGTGATCAAAATAGCTTTTAACAATTTAAAGCAATTTGATTTTTTTCAAACCAATTCACAATGCAAATCCATGAGGTTAAGAAAACATTATTGGGGAAATACTGTTTTATTAATTAATTTGCCTAATCAGGAACCAATAACCTTTAGTTAATTGATTCTTAGTTTTCTGAGTGAGCTAGCAGCTACCAGACATGAGGATTCCCATGACTATTGGTCAT